GTCCCAGGTGTGTCCCAGGGGTGCCCAGGTGATGTTACCTGTCCCAGGTGAGGTTACCTGGATGTGTCTCCTGCATTCCCTCAGCCCCTCTGCCAGCAGTGTGTGTTACAGGTGTGTCACAGGTGTGTTACAGGTGTGTTACAGGTGTGTTACAGGTGTGTCCCAGGTGATGTTACCTGTCCCAGGTGTGCCCAGGTGAGGTTACCTGGATGTGTCTCCTGCATTCCCTCAGCCCCTCTGCCAGCAGTGTGTGTTACAGGTGTGTCCCAGGTGTGTTACAGGTGTGTTACAGGTGTGTTACAGGTGTGTTACAGGTGTGTCCCAGGTGATGTTACCTGTCCCAGGTGAGGTTACCTGGATGTGTCTCCTGCACTCCCTCAGCCCCTCTGCCAGCAGTGTGTGTTACAGGTGTGTCACAGGTGTGTCACAGGTGTGTTACAGGTGAGGTTACCTGTCCCAGGTGTGTCCCAGGTGTGTCCCAGGGGTGCCCAGGTGATGTTACCTGTCCCAGATGAGGTTACCTGTCCTAGGTGAGGTTACCTGGATGTGTCTCTGGCACTCCCTCAGCCCCTCTGCCAGCAGTGCGTGTGTTACAGGTGTGTTACAGGTGAGGTTACCTGTCCCAGGTGTGCCCAGGTGTGTCCCAGGGGTGCCCAGGTGAGGTTACCTGGATGTGTCTCCTGCACTCCCTCAGCCCCTCTGCCAGCAGCGTCACCACGTCCTTGTGATCCTCCAGCAGCTGCCGCAGCAACGCGCAGTAACGCGACTCGTCACTGCGCACCTGGATCTGCACAGGTGAGACAGGTGAGACAGGTGAGATACACACACACAGTAACGCCACTCGTCACTGCACACCTGGATCTGCACAGGTGAGACAGGTGAGATACACACACACAGTAACACCACTCGTCACTGCGCACCTGGATCTGCACAGGTGAGACAGGTACAGGTGAGATACACACACACAGTAACGCCACTCGTCACTGCACACCTGGATCTGCACAGGTGAGACAGGTGAGACAGGTGAGACAGGTGAGATACACACACACAGTAACGCCACTCGTCACTGCACACCTGGATCTGCACAGGTGAGACAGGTGACACCCTCAGGGGTGTCTCCAGGTGTTTCCCAGGTGTATCCAGGTGTGCCCCAGGTGTCCCCAGGTGTGTCCAGGTGTGTCCCAGGTGTGTCCAGGTGTGTCCCCAAGTGTCCCCAGGTGTGTCCCCAGCTGTCCCCAGGTGTCCCCAGGTGTCCCCAGGTGTGTCCAGGTGTCCCCAGGTGTCTCCAGGTGTCCCCAGGTGTGTCCCCAGCTGTCCCCAAGTGTCCCCAGGTGTGTCCCCAGCTGTCCCCAGGTGTCCCCAGGTGTCCCCAGGTGTGTCCAGGTGTGCTCACCGGGGGGAAGTCGCTCAGTTTCTGGAAGGCGCGGATGTAGAGCTCGTGCTGGGGGGAGGGGACGGCGTCAGCTCCCGGGAAAAGCCAAAATCCCGGCAATTCCGGGGATTTCGGGAATTTCGGGACCCCCTGGGAATTCCGGGAATTTCGGGACCCCCCGGGAATTCTGGGAATTTCGGGACCCCCCAGGAATTTCAGGACCCCCCGGGAATTTCGGGAATTTCGGGAATTTCGGGACCCCCCCATGGAATTTTTACAGATTCCCCCCCAAAATTTCCCATTCCCAGGAGAATTTTGGGACCCCCCGGGATTTTGGGGCCGATTTGGGGGATTTTGGGGTCAGTTTTGGGGCATTTTGGGTCAGTTTTGGCGGATTTTGGGGCTGTGCCGATTTTGGGCTGGATCCGGGGCATTTTGGGTCAGATTTGGTGGATTTTGGGTCAGTTTTGGGGATTTTGGGTCAGATTTGGCGGATTTCGGGTCAGATTTGGGGGATTTCGGGTCAGATTTGGTGGATTTTGGGTCAGATTTGGGGCATTTTGGGTCAGTTTTGGCCGATTTCGGGTCAGTTTTGGGGGATTTTGGGTCACATTTTGCAGATTTTGGGCTGGATCCGGGGGATTTTGGGTCAGTTTGGGGGATTTTGGGTCAGATTTGGGGGATTTTGGGTCAGATTTGGCCGATTTCGGGTCAGATTTGGCAGATTTTGGGTCAGATTTGGCGGATTTCGGGTCAGATTTGGTGGATTTTGGGTCAGATTTGGCAGATTTTGGGTCAGATTTGGCCGATTTTGGGTCGGTTTTGGGGCATTTTGGGGCTCACCACGTGCAGGATGGTGGGGTTGCAGCCGATGATGAAGGGAAGGTTCCGGAAGCCCTGGATGCGGTGGGCGATGCGCACGGGCAGCTCCTGCTGCAGGTACCGGGCGCTTTTCTGCCCCAAAAAACCACGATTTTGGGCAAATCCCCAAATTCCCTCACCCCCCTCACAATTTCCAGCGTTTTGGGAAAATCCCCCCCTCCCCCAGCTCTGTTTTCCCACCCGGATTTTGGGGTTTTTTCCCCCGATTTCTGCAAATTCCCAAATTCTGGAGGTTTCACCCCAAATTTTTCACTCCCTTCCCGGCGATTCCAAATTTTTTTTGGGGTCCTGCCCTGAAAATTCCTCCCAAACGGCGAAATTTTGGGGATGTGAACGCTCAAAACCTTCCCAAACCCTCGGGTTTTGGGGGAAAAACTCAAATTTTGGGAAAAACCCCCGAACTTTGAGGAAAAAACCCCAAATTTTGGGAAAAACCCCAAATTTTGGGAAAAAACCACCCAAATTTTTAAGGAAAAACCCCCAAACATTGAGAAAAAACCCCAAATTTTGGGAAAAACCCCGAATTTTGAGGAAAAAACCCCAAATCTAACGAAAAAACACCCAAAATTTTAAGGAAAAAAACCCAAATTTTGGGAAAAAAACCCCAAACTTTGCGTAAAAAAAAAAAATCTGGGGAAAACCCCCAAATTTTAGGGAAAACCCACAAATTTTAGGAAAAAACACCCAAATTTTTAAGGAAAAAACACCAAATTTTAGGAAAAACCCCCAAACTTTGAGATAAAACCCCAAATTTTGGGGAAAACCCCCGAACTTTGAGGAAAAAACACCAAATTTTGGGAAAAACACCCAAATTTTGAGGAAAAAACCCCAAATTTTGGGAAGAACCCCCAAATTTTTTGGTGAAAATCCCCAAATTTTGGTGAAAACCCCCAAATTTTAGGAAAAAACTTTCAGGTTTTGAGAAAAACTCCTCAAATTTTGGATAAAAACCCCAAATTTTGGGGATAAATCCCTTAATTTTGGGGCTAAAATCCTTGAATTTTTGGGAAAAACACCCGAATTTTTAAGGAAAAAACCTCCAATTTTGGGGAAATTCTCCCGGATTTTGGGGTCCCTCACCAGGATGTGGCTGCCGTCCTGCGAGCGCCCCGAGTACAGCATGGTGGTGGGGGTCAGGCGCACCGAGGGCTGCGTTTTGGGGGGAAAAAAGGAGATTTTGGGATCTTCTGGGATTGGGGGGGAAGCGTCCTCGAATTGCCCTGGGAATCCCGCCCAGAACGGCCCCAAAATCCCCCCAAACAGCCCCAAAATCAGCCCCAAAATCCCCCCAAACAGCCCCAAAATCAGCCCCCAAATCCCCCCAAACTGCCCCAAAATCAGCCCCAAAATCCCGCCCAGAACGGCCCCAAAATCCCCCC